AGGAAGGAGCTGCAGGGCATCGGAGTAGTGACGACAAAAACAAAGGGGGTATTCTGTGGGGGGTGGGGGGGGGGGGGGGTTGTATCATGGACAACGGACCATTTTGTGGTTTCAACTGCTCAAAGCAGTTGGGTCTCCAGCAGGGGTGGGATTCAACCGGTGTAACATCCGGTCCGGTGAGCGTGCACGCAGCGTTTGCAACTCACCTTCTGCTGCAAGCCCTGCGTGCAAAAGATCTGACAGGTGGGAATCGTCTGTGCCGCGCGAAGCAGCTGGGCTGGAAAACCCGGAAAGAAAGCACAGACTAGATGTGGGACGGGTAGGCCCAACAGCTGATCGTCGGAGAGAACCAGTTCGCCTGAACCACCCCGGTCTCCAACCTGGGCCACTTTAAGACTTGTGGACTTCAACTCCCAGAATTCCTCACCCAGCCAAGCTGGCTTCTTATCCTCAAAGCAAGGAATTGGGGATTATCATTTCCTAAGACACTTTTGTCCTTGTAGACATAGAAGGAACAGAACTGAGTTACAGGAATATGGTGGAAAGTATCAGGTTCTAATTGGCATAGAAGTGCAATATATAAACAAGACACAAATAAACGTCGATGGAGATTCCCAATCTTCCAGGTCTTGGTTGGCCCAAAGCTGCCTTAAAAACATAATTATTTACTTAAGCCAAATAACTGCCTTTTTTCAAAAGACAACTGGACTTCCTTGTTGTTGTTTTTTTCCCTTTGAAGATATTTAACTTCTCATCCAAGAAGCTTCTTCGGTTCTGAAAAAGGGAACTGAAGAAGCTTCTTGAATGTGAAGCAAGACTTTTTCAAAGAAAAAAAAAACCAAGAAAGTCCAGTTGCCTTTGGAGGGGGGAAAAAAAGCAATTATTTGGCTTAAGGAAATAATTAAGTTCATTGCTATATTTTTACTGCTAGATTTCATCTTTTAACTATTTTTTTTTTACTTGTTTTATAATCTGTTGGAGGCCCCTGGCTCAAATGTAATGCCGTTTCCTCCCTCAGGTTGCCCTCCATTTTCAGCACTTTCCAGAGTCACCTGCTCTGCACTCCACAGGCGAAGCTTTTACGCCGGCTGAAGCTTTGGCGGACTGCCGTGTGCTAAGTGCCGCTGCCTCTGCAGCTTCCTCTTGAGTGCTCGCCCCCTTCGGGAGTGCTCTCTCCCCTTCCCTCCCTCTCTCTCTCTCCTTCTCTCTCCCTCCCTCCCTTTCTCCCTCCCTCCCTCTCTCCCTCCCTCTCCCTCTCCCTCTCTCTCTCTCTCATTCTGGGAGTTGAAGTCGATCCTTCTTTAAGTTGCCTCGGTTGAGAAAAACTGAACTTAAGGGACAAATCGCATCATCCCACATTCATCCTTTGTACTAAAACAAAATAAATGCCGTAGTAAGGGATTTATATTCAGCTCTCTAATCCAATTAGCATAATTAGATTTAATTGGGCAATCCATCCCCATGACAGTTTGAAACTGGGGAGCCAGGCTTTCTACGATTCCGTGGAAAAACCAGCTGCAGGAGGGTGGTTTCACTGAATCCCCAAAGCACAGAAGTTTCTTGCTATTTTATTGGCTTCCACATTAATTATCTGAGTGCCAGACAATCTCCTTGTGCCCAAAAGAGCCGGCTTAACAAAGATTTTAGCCACAGTTTCATCCCCTTTGTTTAAAAAAAGATATTTGGTCACTGATGAGGAAGGCATTATGCCCAGGAATATTCTGTCTAACTTCTCAGAGCCAGAAAAATATATATATTCTACTCTTCCAAGCTTTTTATTATATTATTATCAATGAATGTTCTGCTTTTTGTTTACTGAATTTAATCTTTGTCTATTACATTCTCTCCTTTCCCCCAAAATTTCTGGTACTGCCAGTTTTTTTTAAATTAATTTGTTTTGTGCTTGTTAGCCAGTGTGAAACCTCTGTGATAGAAAATAGAGCAGATTGCTTTTGAAAATAATATGTAAGTTAAAAGAAATGTTTTAGAAACTGTCAGTGTTCCTTGAGACCAAAGGTAACATGATATTTAAAGATGTCAGATATCTGGACACAACGTCTTCCTTTTTCTCTCATGTTTTAGAAATTTGCCCTTCCTGCGGAGTCCTTGGTGGTCTCTGAGCTTGGCTGCTTCCTTGCAGACATTTTGTGACCCAACTAGGTAACATCCTCAGTTTCAAAAGGGAGTGGGGTTTGCTCTCAGTTTGGGGGGGTAGGTGGGAGTATTGTTTTCTTCTTGGTGGTTCTTTCATTAGGTTGTTGTTCACTGTTTCATTTTTTTTTTGTGTTGGTGGTTCCAATTCTAGACAAATTGAGTTGGCGATTCCCACTCTAGAGCGACTAATTCAGACAAACAATCAAACGGTGAGCAATACCCTAATCACGAGCTGAAGGAGCTTCTTGCGTGAGAAGTTTGGTCTTCAGAGAAAACCAGAAAGTCTGGGTGCCTCTTGAAAAAAGCACCTTTGGGACAACCAGGGCCTGGACAACGGAGAATCTCCACAGACCTATCCCAACCAAGGAAGCAACGCAACCTTTCTCACTCCTGCTGACAGGAAGAGAAGCCACCAGGATCTAAACAGAGAGCAAACCTCATTCCACCCTAACTCTGATGATGTTACCTAGTTTGGTAGTGAAATGCCTGCAGCAAAAGCTCAGTGAGAGGACCAGGGACCCCGCACAGTCCAGCCCCGAGCTACAGACGTCCTCTTCCACTGAAAGTCACACTTACATCGAACTCATTCAGGGCTGCAGCCAGCTCCCCGATGCCAGTGTGGCCCTTGTTCTCGTCGGTAGGTGAGGTGGCCTGAGCCGCATTGGAAATTCCAGCAATGGCTTCCTGGACTTGTTTGAAGACATAATCCCTGTTGGCTCTGGTGGCTGCCACGTCCGGATGGCGGAGGAAAGCTTGCGAAGCAGTGTAGAGCATCGTTGCGTTTTTCTTCAGGGCGCCACGAGCTGCAGCCATTTCATCTCTACAGTGGGGATCCTTTAGCTCCTGTTTGAAACAGAAAAGAAAAAATGAAAAACAACAATGGCTACCAACCCGCACAAGTCACAAAGAGGGCTGTGAAAATATCTACAGACCCCTCACATCCTGGAGATATAAACCGCTTCAACTCCTACCCTCAAAACGACACTATCGGGCTGCCCTGCACACCAGAACAACTAGACTCCAGGGGAGTTTTTCCCCCGCATGCCATCCCTCTGCTAAACAACTAATTCCTTCCACACTATCCAACTATTTACTAAGACTGTATTACTATTCTTCTTCTCATCCTTCCTAGTATCTATCTCCTTTTCTATTTATGATTATAACCTTGTTGCTTGTATCTCTATGGTTATATTGTTTTATTTAGTTTCCTAGCATGATTTTGATTGCTCATTTAGTGTCCTATGACTAACGTTAAGTGTTGTATCTTATGATTCTTGATAAATGTATCTTTTACGTGCACTGAGTGCTTATGCACTAAAGACAAATTCCTTGTGTGTCCAGTCACACGTGGCCAATAAAGAATTCTAGAAAATGAAAAAATGCACACAATCACACACCGACTCTGTAATATCTTTAAATCGGTGCCTCAGCAGAGAAGCTAACTGTTATCAATAAGTACCAGCCTCCAAGCCCTTCCCAACTTCTCCATCCATCATGGATGAACCAGACTTAAAAGGTGGATAAAGATGCTCAAAACAGATATCTCGAAAAGCAAAGACATACCTGCAACCTGAAATGAAAAAGATTAAGTAATGAGGGAGGTGAATGAACTGTATTCCAAATCTTAAGCAATGTTGTACAGAAAGGAAAATGGCTCAAGGATCATCTATCTTAACTCTCTCGTGGATCTTCAGGCACACAGACAACAACACTACTTCGAGGTATATTTTATTGTGCCTTTTAAATGGCCCCCCTTTTTTGGTGGGGGTGTGTGTGTCATTATTATAACAAGAGCCAGGTTGGTCTAAGGATTAAGCCCCCAAGCTAAAAACCAGGAGACGGTGAGTTATAACTCAAGCAAGAAACATAACGAATATTCCTTCTTCTTCCTATTTTCCACACAACAACAACCCTGTGAGGTGAATTGGGCTGAGAGGGTTTGATTGGCCCAAAGTAGGAGTAGAACTCACGGCCTCCCGGTTTCTGAGTCAACACCTTCACCACTACACCAAAGTGGCTCTTTCACAGCTGGCTATCAAGCAGAGATTGTCCTGGTCTGTCTGTTAGTTCCTTCCAGCACCCAGAAGCTTTAAGAGATGCCCTGTATCCTACATAAGAGGACCACGAGAAAATGACCGTGAAGGTTGTAACCCTTCCAAAAAGTGAGGGTAGACGGCCTTCCTCTCCCCGACTGCAACGGGGTTTCAGGGTTAAGAGCCTGAGGGGAGACTTCTGTCCAGCAGTTAAGAGGCATCGGCTGTCCTGGCGCCTGGGACTCCGCCATTTCAGGAGCATGAAGGTTCAAAAGAGCCACCAATGGACAGGATAAGCTTTTGAGATCTCTTTCATACCACCAGGAGTCTCCACAAACCATACATTGTCTGTCTGTCTCTCTTTCTCTTCTCTTCCCTTCTCCTCCACTCTCTCTTTGTCCACCCACCCACCCACCCATCTCCCTCTCTCTCCCTCTCTCTCTCTTCTTTCTTTCTTTCTTTCTTTCTTTCTTTCTTTCTTTCTTTCTTTCTTTCTTTCTTTCTTTCTTTCTTTCTTTCTTCCTTCCTTCCTTCCTTCCTTCCTTCCTTCCTTCCTTCCTTCCTTCCTTCCTTCCTTTCTTTCATGTCTGTCTGTCTGTCTGTCTATCTATCTATCTTATATGGGTCCAATCTCACAACAGGGATTCTGGGCAGCGTACAAAGATCAACAATTAAAACAATAACCCATCGTGCCCTGGGCAAATAAAAACTTCCCAATGACTAAAAAAACACAACGTATCAACAACAGGGCTGCCTTAAGCCCCTAATCCAAATGCCTGGAGCAAATGAGAAAATCCTGAATCATTGTACAGATTATGCGGGATGCCCTTTCTGTACACCCACCTGTTGCCTTCTAGCAGCTACGTAGTTAAGCTTCACCATCTCCTTTCCAAACTCTTTGAAGCGGTTGGCCAGGTCTTGTTCATTGGTGGCATTCTTCACGGCTTCTAGCGCTTCCTCTACCTGTAGAGGAAGATTGAAAGTTGAGACTCCAGGCTACGATGGTCAAACCTTCCATGCACGACAAGGCAGCTCCAGAACACTGGGCTGTATCCTTCAGACCATCATAAAATTATCCTGCGGATATTCCCAGTTGGGTTGACCGCCATTGTAGGGTTTATAATTTTCAGTATCTCAACAGATCTTTAGTACCTATATCACACAAGCAATAGCCCTCAGACTTATATCCCGCTTCACGGTGCTTTCCAGCCCTCTCTAAGCGGTTTACAGAGTCAGCCTCTTTCCCCCAACAATCTGGGTCCTCATTTGACCCACCTCGGAAGGAGGGAAGGTGCAGTCAACCTGGAGCCGGTCAGGATCAAACTGTCAACAGTGGGCAGAAGGAGCCTGCAATACTGCACTCTAACCACTGTGCCACGAAAATAGGTCTGTCACTAAAAATGACATCAAATCTGGCACAGGGCAGGTAGTCCTCGACTTACGACCACAATTGAGCCCCAAATTTCTATTGCCGGGTGAGACATTGGTTAAGTGAACTTTGCCCCATTTTACGGCCTTTCTTGTAACAGTTGTTACAAGAAACCTGTGCTGTTGTTAAGTGAGTAACATGGTTGTTAAGTGGCCTCCCCGTTGACTTTGCTGGTCAGAAGGCCGCACAAAATGATCACGTGACTCCGGGACACCAAATAGGAGTCAGTTGCCAAGTGCCTGAAATTTTGATCCCGTGATCACTTGGTCGTTGCAACACGGGGAGGCCACAATGGTCATAAATGTGAAAAATGGTCACTGTCATCGTAACTTTGAATGGTCACTAAATGAACTGTTGTAAGTTGAGGGCTACCTGTAGTCCTTAACTTACAACCTGACAGTTAGAACAATTCAGTGGAGCAACTTGCCTTCAGATGTTGTAAGTGCTCCAACACTGGAAGTAGACAACCGTTTGTCTGAAATGGTATAGAGTTTCCTGCCTGGGCAGGGGGTTGGACTAGAAGACCTCCAAGGTCCCTTCCAACTCTATCATTCTTATTCTAACCATTCATTGTAAGGCTATAGTGAGCAGTATCTCAAAAATGGGAGATTGCAAATAAGTTCAACATGCTGTGACTCTTTTTTCACACGAATGGCAGTAGTAGCCATATAGGGTGGTTTCCATGTGAAAAATAAATTAACCTGTTTTTTTATAGTTCCTTGAAGTATCAGCAGGAGTCTGTGCCACAAAGTGCATTCAAATTATATGTGTTTTATAATATGGACATTGCAAAGACAAGCAAGCAAGACAAGCTACATCAGCTACGCAATGGTTTCCTGTCCATTTCTAGCAACAGAAACTACAACTGGAGCAGCTCAAAATAAAATACCTGCAGGAAAATAAAAACTATTATTAACCTTTAATTTTTACCATGTGGGTTTTTACTCCACTCACTATAAATATATTTTCTCCCTAAAAAAGATGTAAATGACAGGCAGGCAAAACTATCTACCCAACCTTCTTCAAACTTCCGTTAAAGCAACTCTGATAGTATGGTTGTAAAAAAAGTAATGATTAACTGTCACAACAAGATGTATCTCAGGGCGGATTGCACAAAAGCTGGCAATAATACAACAATTAAAATGCCAATTGAAATCTGTTTGCAGTCTGGGAGGGAAACAATGCTGTGCGTGGAAGGACCAGGGGCTCCTTTCATTTTGTAAACTAACGCAATGCATTGCAATGAAAGTTGAAGTTAAAATATTTTGGGAGTCCTGTGTCCAGGAGGCCATCACTTTGCCAATCATTCAAGAATGTTTCCAGATAGCAATGACAACAGGGCCACAAACTCCCTGGATTTTCCATTGAAGATGAGAACATTTTACTTCCTCCATTTTGATGCATTGTGCCCCAAGATTTCTCCAAGAGTCACTTGCAAATAATAATAACAATAATGATGCTGAAAAACAAAGCAATTTGTTAAGACACGGTTGCACCCAGTAGAATTCCTGGAGAATTGGTATTTATCTATTATTTATCTCTGTGGCATGGAGAGTGGGTAATTCATTGACACACGTTACCATTTTTCCAAGATTGCAGCCTCCTCCTATCATTATACCATGGAGGCACAGTGGTTAGAACGTGGTATTGCAGGCTAACTTTGCCCAATGCCAGGAGTTTGATCCTGGCTGCCTCAAGGTTGGCTCAGCTTTCCATCCTTCCGAGGTGAGTAAAATGAGGAGCCAGACTGTTGGAGGCAAGAGGCTGACTCTGTAAACTGCTGAGAGACTGCTGTAAAACACTAGGAAGCGGTATATAAGTCTAAGTGCTATGAAGAGGACGTGGTTGTCAGGACTTTCCATCCCACAAGGAGCAATAAGCCAGTCTATAGGACCACTAAGGTCTTCCTGAGTCTGAATCTCCATGTTCTTCAGCAAGTCCCCATCATCTTTAGCCTCTCCACACAAGTCATCCTTAGCAAAACGTGCAAACCAGCACCTGCATTTCCTGCATCGGGTGAGGAGAGCACCTCTTTCTCCTCCTGTCCTGGCCACTCTTTACAGAGGCACAAACCTCACCCCTGTTTGGTTTGGTGGCAGCAGCGCCTCAGATAGAAAGCCCCTACGGAGAGAGGTGAGGACAGCAGAGAAGATTATAGGAAGCTCAATTCCCATCATTCGGGATGCCGCTTACAAGCGCTATGCGCTCAGAGCCCAAAGCATCGTTAGAGACCCCACACGGCCACTTCACGGCCTGTCTGTGTTGCTCCCCTCTGGGAGGAGCTTTCCAAGTATTTCTAGCCGGACTGCCAGATTCTGTAAGAGCTTCGTTCCCTGGGCCATCCGCCTGGTAAAACTCACAGTACTTGTTTTTCTCACTATGTCCATGTATACATCTGAACTAGACCGTGTTGTTTCTCTGTACGTTCAAAGTGACAATAAAGTTATTATTCTATTCTATTCTAAGTCCTTGGTCTGCAACAAATAGTTCATCCTAAAAAGACAGGCAGTGATTTACTTCACGGGTTCGATCCAAATGCCTTTTGAAGTCATTAAAATATGAGCCCTCCTGGCAGTACCAACCCTAACCCTCAGACCAGGGGTGGGATTCAAATGTTTTAACAACCGGTTCTGTGGGCGTGGCTTAGGTGGTGGGCGTGGTCATGTTATTGGCTGGGCGTGGCCAACTCAACATCACTCACATCGAGGCACGCATCTCCTCACACCTGGCCTCTCATGACTGTGGGGATGCTGCAACAGTCGTTAAGTGTGAAAAATGGTCATAGGTCACTTTTTTCAGTGCCATTGTGACTTTGAATGGTCCCTCCACACAAGCAAAGGACCAGCAAAGGAGGGGAAAAAAACTCCAGAGAAGTTCTGGAGACAGGAAGTCTAGTCCCTCCAAGAATGTAATAAGGGTTAACGGAGAGGCAGTTTCTGTAAGCAACACCAGAATGTTTCCTTCCTGCCTCCCTTACAGGATTAGCCCAGGAATTTCTTCTAACAACTGGTTCTCTGAACTGCTTAGGATGTTAACAACCGGTTCTAGCGAATAGGTGCAAACTGATAGAATCCCACCCCTGCCTCAGACCACTGGATTCCTGGCACATCAATCCAATCCCTTTTGAAATGGTGATTATGAGATGGTTGCAAGGCATCTAAATGATCTACTGGAATCTGTGTGAGAAATCCAAAGTTACTCAAGGAGATAAGAACCTTTCTCAGGCCTGATCCCAAGTTGGCATGAGAAGGAAACAGGAGGAGTTTTTGTTTTGTTTTTATGTCTATGAAGAATCTGTTTCCAATTTATTTCTTTATCATTTATTAAACAAATGTATACGGTCGCTAACTCATGCACAGTTGACTCTAGGTGGCTTGCAACGCTAAAATCCACAATATAAAAACCATAAAATGCATCCACAGCAGCAGCAACCCAATCAAACCAATTGATTATTATACAATTAGTTATAATTAAGCAGGAAGGTAATGAATCACCGCAAGACAGTAATGTCTTCACACGGAAAACTATCAACAGCCAAACTTGTAAAGCAATGGCCACAGCTATATATATATACACACACACTGATTTAAGAAACCCCCAGCCTGAATCAACAGACAAAAATGTTTAATATTTTAAAACACCAGCATAGATAAATACTAATCCTCAGGAGATGCTCTCAACGGGAGCTAGGATTTGCAATGGTTTTTCTCAAGGAATATTGCTCCAATATTAGCACTCTGCATTTTTTGTGTCAATATTGAACAAGATCATAAAATCGTTCAACATTTTTTCAGTTGTTACCAAGGCTTTAAGTATTACATTTCTCCAACAGAAATACGGAAGTGTTTTACTATTGCATTTTAACCAGAATGCAAAACAGACTGGGATTACATGATAGTAAATTGAATTTGGAAAACATTTAAAACATGCATAGACTGATGGGGTTAATATTGTGTAAATCAAGAATTATTTTTTTTAGGATTTAATTTTAATTAGAAAAGTCCCTGGATTGGCCAACAAACACCAATGAAAAAATACTTTAAATCATCTCATGCTGTTATAAGATTTTACAAACAGTCTGCCTGTTTCAAGCGCTAAAGCTAATGCGAGAAAACTAACAATGCTTGTAATTCACGGGGAATTACAGAATGTAACTAATTGAACAACATTAATGTTTTAGAATCAATCTGCAATCAACTCTAACCCTGCAGCCATCCTGAATCAAGAGATCAAATAATTGTGAATTGTTGTTTATAAGTAGTTTACAGATGAAATGAGAATCAATCATAAGCTGGAATTCAGTTGGGGAACAATTAACAAGTAGTAAAAAAAAAAAAGAATGGATTGGACTTGGAAATTAGTTTTAATTTAAAACCATCACAATAATCTGATCATTAAAATGTGAGGTTTTAGTGAGTTTGTTTGCATCATTTGTTTTTCTATTTGGAAAAAAAAATGTTTCCCTCCATTGCAACTACGCAGTTTCAGGGTACAGCAGTCTGAAGATTCTCATAAACAGGAGCTGGCGATAGAT